TCCACAGCTTTCTTGGCCCTTCCTTCCTGGCCAAACTCACATTTTGAACCATCCTGCTGGGCTTCTTGCTCTTCATTCTCAACATAAATCTGGCTAAAAGCTCCAGTGACAGCCATGCCACTGCCCCAATATTTGGTTGCTTTGAAGTATCTTCTGAAAGATTAATCAGTCCGCCATGCTTAAACTCAGGCAATGTCTCTGGACATGAGCAAAATGCAGATAACTTATCTGCCAAGTCAAAACACAAATGATCTGGAGTCCAACAACCAATGCAGTCCTTCTTTCCAGCAGAAACCTCCCCAGCCTGGTCTTCACAGGCAGACTTTCTGTCAGCCTTCAGGTCTTCTGAGCTCTGACCAGAATCTCCCCTACAGAGAGCTGAAGCTGTTCCAGCTCTTCACACGTAGGCAACATCTCCGAACCTTTCCCATCTCTTCTCATAAGCTATTCCCAAAAGCTTGTAATCCACATAGTCAGGTTGAGCCACAACAACAGTCCCACTCTTGGAGTACCAAATTCTTAGTTACTCTTCTCTCAATGCTGGGACAAATGCCCAACACTCAAATTAGGGAAGGAAAGGTTTATTTAGCTCACAATTACTGGAGGTTTCAGTCTATATTCAACTGGCTCTAAGGCAGAGCAGCACATGGCAGAGGACCTTTCACGGTGGAGGCCTGTTTTGCCTATCTTAATCCTTCTCTGCAGCACTCTTCTCTCCTCCTACCCTCATCCTTCACAGTAGGTCATGTACAACAGGGAAATTGTCAAGGCTGATAGTGATGTTCTTCTGTCAGAGTTCAGTCTTCTGTGTTTGGTTTACATAAGCTGACTATAGAGCTTAGAAAATAGTAAACATTATTTATTGGCTGTGTGGATACTCACTACAGAGCTTGGGTTTCCTTCTCTGCTTGTCTGATGTCATGACCTATGGCCATGAAAGGCTATTCCTAATTTTCCGATCAAATAATTGTTTTCCTCCTGTACCCTTAATCAGGTATACCAAATCAGCCCATAATTATGGTAGTGACTTAATTTATAAATTGTATTTTTTCCTCAGTATTTATAGCTACTTTTTGTCAGATTGAAACAAAAACTTTTCCTGTCCATCGTTTAATGTCCTATTTATTAATCTACCTTACTGTTTTGTAGTTCTTTTTGTCTCATGTTACTGAGGAATGAACCCAGGTCCTTTGCACTGAGCTACATCTCTAACCCATTTTTTTTTTTTGTTTTGTTTTGTTGTTTTTTTGACGCCAAGTCTTAGTCACATAGGCTGGGCTCAAATATGGGATTATTCTGCTTCAGTCTCTCAGAGTACTGGGGCTACAATTACGCAACATTATGTCCAGTTTGTAGTTTTTCTCCTTGAAGATACAATTTCTTGGATTGAACAACTTCATAGATTATTCATTTCTAGGCTTCCTTATGGCTATCATTCTGGATTTCTCTTCTTTGAGAAATTCTTCATCAATTTGAATATTTACTTTCTATGCATTCTTGTTCAGCATTTACTTGAGGGTAAATTCCATTTCGTTAATCTTATTTTAGATAATCAATAGATATTCATGGAGTAATTACTTGTTATCAGGCACTGATAGACTATAATGGTATACCAATGAACATGGTTAAAAAACGTGGGCCTAGGGCCAGCAAGATAGCTCAGCAGACTAAGCAGCTGCTTAGGCAAATGCAGAGACCACCACCACATGCTGTGCCGGCCCCACCGCCAGGCACACTGAGCCAGTTACAGAGACCAGGCAAGTATGGTGGCACAAGCCTGTAATCCCAGCGCTGGGGACACTGAAAACATGATGATCCTCATGAGTCCAAGTTGCGTAGTGAGACCCTGTACCAAATACATTTAAAAAAAAGTGGGCCTATATTTCCTTTGTGTTGATTTTCATTTTAAGCTGTTAACATAGCTTTCTATTGGTAAACTTATTCTATTAATTTACCCTCAAGTAAATGCTGAACAAGAATGCATAGAAAGTAAATTTTCAGAGTTCCTCCCTTTCTGAAAATGTTTGTTTTACAATAGCATGTAGTTGATACTTTGACTGGATGTAAATTTCTAGGTTTTCTAGATTTAGAATCATTTTCCATCAAAACTTGAAGGCATTTTCTAATATTCTTTCCCTTGTAAGGTGGTAGATTTTTAGTCCTTGTTCTGAACTTTGATGATGTACTGTGTGTCAGAATGTATGTGTGTGTGTGTTTCCTTCATTGTACTGGGCACATGGCCTATTAACGTGAAGATCAGTATCTGTTATTTTCTGTTACTTGTATTTTCTTCTATATGGGTAATTTTCTATTTTAAATTTTTGTATTTGTGCACTGCATCTGCTAATAATTACATAAATATTCCAAACAATAAAACATTCAAAAACCTGAAACACCTGTGAAGGAAAGATTTCAAGCAGGGAAGACTCAGCCTAGAAGGAAAAATATCTTTTAGTAGATAAAAAATGTTTTGTTTGGTCTGAAACTGTCTCATTGCTATTTGTTTATCAATAAAATTATGGAAAAAAAAATTTCTGACATTGCCAGTCAAGCAGAAGACCCAGTACTGTTATGGTTTACTGGACTCTTTTAGAATATTATGCTGAGTTAACACACTTAAAAAAATAAAAAAAGTTTTGTTTTTATTTCACAGGTTACGAGCAGGATTATGTGATCGCTGTGCCGTAACTGAAGAGCATATGCGGAAAAAGCAGCAAGAGTTTGAAAATATCCGACAGCAGAATCTTAAGCTTATTACAGAGCTTAGTGAGTTTTCTTTCTTTGTTTAATATTAAAAGTAAAATATGCTACTGTCACAGCCTTTTAGGAAATTGATTGTAATTGCTTACATGTATTTTTTTTATTTAGGTAAAAGTTCATGTATCTCTTCTGCCCTTTTTTAGACTTGATGTCATGCTTATTTTAGTAAGACATAAATTGCAAAAAAGTTGTCTGTACTGTTTACAGTGGCCTTAAACCATTCCTAGGTCTAAGCCAAGAAGTAAATCCTGGGCATGTCTATATTTGCTGCTTTGGTTTTATCATGATTTTGTGTAGTCTATATAATAAGACTAAATACAAAGCCAGTGGTTTAATGTTTTACAAGGGTGTATATATTTTGGGTTTTCATGAGATACAGTACTGAGTATCCTGTTTTTAGCTTTTAACTCTTACTCAGTGTAGGATTTTCTTACATGATTAGCCTTCCACTCTTGTTTTCTATCCTAGTAGCCTGCTTCACTTTCTTATCTTTTTCTCCAAGTGACTATTACTTAAATTCTCCATGAGTAACTCAGAATCAACGTATTTACACCTAATTGTCTTCTTTCCCAAACCAGTTCTCTCTTCAGACTTTTTTTGGCAATTATATTACTATTCTGTGGGTACTCGTGGAATAATGTATGCTTATTTTAAAAATATAAGAAATAATAATAGTATTTTTCTATATCCAAAATAAAGTCCTTGTTAACAGTCTGATTTTTATCTTTCCAAGTCCAGTTTTATTTTTCTGTCCTTCATTTTACCCCCTTCCTCTTCTCTTTTGAATATTAATGGGATCATGCTATAGCTGGTGTTTTGTTTCCTTGGTGGTTGGGTTTTTTTTTTATGTATTTAGCACAGGGTCTACAGGGTCTCAGTACACAGATTGGACCTGTAGTGATCCTTCCTGTTTTTAAGCCTCACAACTGCTGGGATTACAGGTGTACACCACCATGCCAAAGCTCAGTTGCAGCCTCAGTGCACCCCAGGGGCAGGGCCAGCAGGGCAAGCTGGGGATCAAACCCCTGGCCTCTGCATCCACCTAAGCGGTGCTTTAATCTGCTGGACTATGGAACTCAGGATCTTGCACTATTCTACTGCGCTATCTCCCCAGCCCATGGTTGTAGGGTTTTTTTTTTTTTTTTTTTTTTTTTTTTTTCGGAATCAGGGATTGAACTCAGGCCCTTATGCTTGCCAGGGAAGTGCTTAATTCTACTGAGCCATCTCCCCAGCCCAATGGTTGTTGTTTTTTGAGACAAAATCTCACTATGTATTTCAGGCTGGTCTCATCATACAGCCCGTTCTGACCTTGAACTCATGGTCTCAGCTCCTAGTCCTGGGACTACAGTCATGCATCTCCACTTCTGGCCTATCTAACTTCTCTTCTTGTCAGTACTATCTTCTCACTTTATTATATACTATATACATACTAAAAAAGTGAATCTTTCCATTATTATTACTATTATTGATAATACTGAGGATTGAACTCAAGGGCTTCACACTGAGTTACATCCATAGCACTTTTTTTGTTTATTGTTTTGAAACATCTTGCTAAGATTCCATAAATTGGGCTCAAACTTAAGATCCTCTTTCCTCAGCTTCTCAGAGTGCTGGGATTGCAGGTGTGCATAACCTCATTTGGCTATCTTCCCATTATTTATCTTTGAAATGTGTTACCTAGTAATCTTTAAAATAAAATCCTGATTTCTTAGCCTGGTATTCAAAGACCAGTAATTATAGCCAATTTTTAAAAAATTTATTTCACTAATCCTCTGATGCAGTAATTTTATGCCCAGTTCAGTTCTTTTATGTTCTTTTTGAGGGCCCAAAATAACCTTTTTCACTTCAGAAATTTTCTTTTCTTTTCTGTATTTTTATTCATCTCTTTCAGTTATGTCAAAAATGTTTCTAGGCCGGCCAAATAGCTCAGCAGATTAAAGTGCCTGTTTAGGCAGATGCAGGGGCTAGGAGTTCAGTCCCCATGCCTGCCATGCCAGCCCTGGGTCTGGTGGCACATGGCTGTAATCCCAGCAGTTGGGAGGCTGTAAACAATCACTGCGAGTTTGATCTACACAGTGAGACCCTGTACACCCTGTACACCCTCTACATCCTGTACACCCTGTATACCCTGTCCTAAATACAAAAAAAAAAAAAGATTCCATAGTGTCTTGATTCTGAGAGTATGTTCTACTTTCCTTTAGGTTACTGCTTATATCCTAGGGTTTTGGGTTTTGGTTTTTTTTTTAAGAAATTAGAAATATTAATTTCTTCATAAATGTTGACAAGATAGGTGAGTACTCTCACTATTACAGATAGGCAAAAAGGTCCCTTATTGAACTCAAGTTGGAAGAGGTGAGTCCGGTCTCAAAATGGAGGTAAAACTGCCACCCAGTCACCCCTAGCTGGACTCTAGCCATCGCCCTTGCTGCTGGGGGAAGGAGGGCCATGATCCAGAGAAGCCAGAGCAGTTGAGGAAGCTGTTTATTGGTGGTCTGAGTTTTGAAACTACCAATGGTAGTTTAAGAGAACACTTTGAGAAATGGGGCACACTCACAGATGGTGTGATAATGAGAGATCCTCAAACAAAATACTCCAGAGCCTTTGGTTTTGTGACTTACTCTTGTGTTGAAGAGGTGGATGCAGAAATGTGTGCTCAGCCACACAAAGTTGATGGGCATGTAGTGGAACCAAAGAGAACTGTTTCTAGAGAGGATTCAGTAAAGCCTGGTGCCCATAACAGTGAAGAAAATTCTTGTTGGTAGTATTAAGATACAAAAGAATATAATTTGAGAGACTACTTTGAAAAATATGACAAGATCGAAACCATAGAAGTTATGGAAGACAGAGTGGGAAAAAGAGAGGATTTGCTTTTGTAACTTTTGATGATCACGACACAGTTGATAAAATTGTTGTTCAGAAATACTACACTATTAATGGGCATAATTGTTAAGTGAAAAAGGCCCTTTGTAAATAAGAGATGCAGTCTGGTGGATCACAAAGAGGCCATGGAGGTGGATCTGGCAACTTTATGGGTCGTGGAGGAAACTTTGGAGGTGGTAGAAGGAATTTTGGCCATGGTGGAAACTTTGGTGGAAGTTACGGTGGTAGAGGAGGTAGCAGCAGAGGTGTTTCTGGAGGAGGTGATGGTGGATATAATGGATTTGGAGGTGATAGTAGAAACTATGGTGGTGGTCCTGGTTACAGTAGTAGAGGAGGGTATGGTGGACCAGGTTATAGAAACCAAGGTGATGGATACAGTGGTGGAAGAGGAGGATATGATAGTAACAATGAAAGAGTACATTTTGGTGGTGGTAACTATGGTAGTGGTGAGAACTATAATGATTTTGGAAATTATAGTGGACAGATAGTCCAAAAATTATTTACTCAATGTAAAAATAGTGTTTTAGATTTTTAAACCACCACATTAACAGGTTTTTTTTAAAAAAAATTAATTTTACTTTAAAGAGAACAAAAAGAATTTCAAAACAAGATAATAGAATGGTAGCAGTAGTTAATACACTGCATATTGACATTTTTAACTTAATTACTTAGAACACAAAATGTCAGCATTTGAGACTGGGCGTGGTGACGCACGCCTGTAATTCCAGTTCTTGGGAGGCTGTAAACAGGTGGATCACCATGAGTCCATTCTAGTAGTGAGACCCTGAACACCCTGTATACCCTTCCCTAAAAATACAAAAAACAAAAAAAGTCAGCATTTAATTGTCCAAACAGTATTAGCACACACCTTTCTTTTCAGTGAGCTGAAGAAATTAGTTTTGAGTATGGTTAACTTTCACTGGTAGAGATTAACTGTTCTTACTGTGAGTTGACGTCTTACGTCTGTCCCTCCTTGTGAAGTGTGCACTTACCAGTGATAACAAACTAAGCATTAATAAGTTTTTAGGAGAACTCCAGTTGTAGTCCGAATGTGAGTTTCTTTTTTATAAATTAGAAAAGGTGTTAGTGGAGGTCAGTTCAGACAAATAGTTGATACTTCAGCAGATACATTTAAATTACTCATACCATGATTATTCATGAAACAGCATAAGGAAGAAAAAATTGATTGTAATTTGCTTATGTTGTTAACATTATACTAATACCCTGTTATTAAGATAAATGATTCACTAAATGGTATTTGAAACTATAAAGGACTGAGTAACTGGATGGAATTCTTTCTTGTCCTTAGGGAGAATAGACTGTACTCCCTAATACGTATATTTTGCTTATAAGCATTACATAAAACTATCAATCAGTTACATGAGTATGACGTGATATGAGATGCAGTAATCACCATCTAGTAACAAATTAGCTTTCCACAGTAGCATTAATGCTGAATAACATTTGGACTTGGAATTAGAAATTCTAATTTCTTCATAAATATTGACATTAAAATCCTGAATATTAACAATGATATTATATGCCTTCTTTTTTACATTGTTTTTAAGTGAATGAAAAGAATACTCTTCAGGAAGAAAATAAAAAGCTTTCTGATCAACTGCAGCAGAAAATTGAGTAAGTGTTTTTCTTAAATTGGAACACAAAATATTTTCCTCCAGCTTTTCTTTCTTTACTTAGTTATAAAAACTGAAGATATCTTAAGAAGTGCACATTTCCTTTAAAAAATTATGACATACTTCATAATAAAAAGTACAAAGAATACCATATAGAGTTGATCCATATCTCTAGTGTCAGCTACTTGGGAAACTGAGCCAGGAAGATTATAAAGTCTAGACTTGCCTGAGAAACATAACAAGGTATTGTCTCAAAATTAAAAAATAAAAAAGGCTGAGAATGTAGCCCAGTAGCTAAGCATCGCTAGGTTTGAGCCCAAGTACAAGAAAAATAGGTAGGTGGATAAAAAGAAAGAAAGAAAAAACAAAAACCCTATGTTTTTGTGTTTCAGGATATATATAGAATATATGTGCATCTCTTAGATTAGTGTTTGTATATGCAGAGAAAATATTAACTTCATTAAAGCATTTCAGTTCTTATGGTGATTTAGTATAAATAACATAGAAATTATCATAACTTAGATTTCAGATAAATATTTGAGTTTTGTTACTTCTTCCAGTCTTGTCCCAGAAGCTTCTTAAAGCAAACTGAACAAGTTATGTAGGCCTGCAGAACTTTCTCCTTCCTGTGTTCTCATCTTCTCGACCACATTTCTCTTTAAAAAGAAAAATAGTTCAACCTGAATGCCAGTCGCTCCTATTGTTTCCCACCCTCACTGCAATTCTGTAGTGTAGTTTTATTATTATTAAATTACAAACGGGGGACCAAACATTATAGTTTTGTAACTTACCTGTGGTTCCACAACTAGTAAGTAATAAGACCACCACCCAGATCCTGATTTTGTTTCTTTCTTTCTTTATTTTGAGGTAAGATCTCTTTGTGTTACCTAGACCGACCTCAAACTGTATGTCGCATGATCCCCCTGGCCCAGCCTCCCAATTAGCTGGCTGCAGGCACAGTGTGACCATTGTGTGTGTGTGTGTGTGTGTGTGTGTGTGTGTGTGTGTGTGTGACACAAATAGGGAGAAAGATAGGGAACCCCTAAGCTAGGACCCTTTCCCCCTTCTCACCTTTTCAGTTGCCCTGGCTGGGCTTGAACTTGCTATCCTCCAGAATAATTGAGAGCAATTGACATTACAAGATTGTGACCCACACCTGGCTTGTGGTGCTTTTCTTCTTCTTCTTCTTCTTCTTCTTCTTCTTCTTCTTCTTCTTCTTCTTCTTCTTCTTCTTCT